TATAAAGATAACGATATTAGCGTCCACACCAGCGAACGATATTGTCTGTTTATTAAGCGCACATGCGTCTGCCGCTTTAAATTCTTGAGCTTGTTACAACAGGATAGATTCTGATTGGCTGTCAGTGTTTTACCATTCATCAGCTGGAAAAAAATCGTTTTGAAAGTGATTCCAACGATGTCGTTCCTCTGTATCGTTATCGTTATAGTTGTGGTGTGAACTATGCTATTCTTTAATATTGAGAACGATTTTTAGAACTATATCTTTATCGTTATCTTTATAGTTATCGTGCTTGGTGTGAACGGGCCTTTAGGCTTTTGTTTTGGGGTTAATCTGAACACTGGGCCAGAATCACTGACACACACACACAATCACACAGTGCCGTTTGTCTGGATTATAACACTGTTGACACCCTGCTGTTTAATACAGGCCTAAGGTCTGTGATCCTGCAATTGACAGTGAACTCATGATTAGTGTTTATTTGCAGTCGGAGTACAGCTCCGCGGTCTGCATCCTGTCTACTGTATTAAGCCATGCACACGCAACACCATTAGACCTTCAACTGTGTTCACCTGCAGAACAAAAGCAACATCCTGAACCACTTTAGTGCAGTTGCACAAGCACAGACCTCAAATAAAAATACAGCTGAATCCATTACATTGTATGGACTGAACACAATTCAGAGTTTATAAACTGGCTCCCGTTTTATTTATGAGATGCAGGATGTTGAATTTGAATTGGAATCACAGGAAGATTAATTTTCTGAAATACTGAAAATGTAACAATTTAGTAACAATTTATTTGGGGATTAATATAAACATTTGGGGAATTGTTTAGTTTTTTTCAGCATGGTCATTAAAATTTAAGTTAATTTAACTTAAAATATCAAATACCTATAATTTGCCTTTCATTTATTATTAATTTAATCTGTTTCTGGAAATACCCCATATATTGTGTGTTTAATTAATGGAAATTAAAAAGCAATTCTTTCTTCAAATTTAAGTTTTATTTTTATTCTACTTTATTCACTTGAAATTGTAATTTTGAAGACATTTTCAATTTAATTCTGAATAGTGTGCAACAAAAACTTAAAATTCTGTTATCATTTGACAAACCTGTATGGAAATGTTTCCGCCACTGGATTAAAAAAAAAGGTAATATAAACTCGCAATTCTGATTTTTTTCTCAGAATTGCGTAATATAAACTCACAATTGCGAGTTATAAAGTCAGAATAGCAGGATATAAACTCGTAATTGCGAGATATAAAGTCACAACTGCGCAGTGCTTGAAGTGGGCCGGTACGCACCAGTTCTGTTGATTTGTGCTACCCTGTCAGATTTTGCTACCTTCCATTAAAACAGTGGGAAGTACAATTCGACAATGAAAAATGCTACCTGTAAAATTATGGTTTATTAACGTCTACACCTACCACAACCCTAAACCTACCCTTACAGTAATGCAAATACAGTAATTATGTGTTATATTCGCGGTTGTAGCTAGAAGGGATACAGCTACAGGAAACCAACAATAAATAATGTTTTTCTACCTATTAGATTGTTTTATTAAAGTCTACACCTACCCCAACCCTAAACCTACCCTTACAGTAATGCAGATACATTAAATATTGTTGTTCAGCATGAGAAAAAAGACGCAATACTGATGTGCGCATGCGCAGTAAACCCTGGTAGGACAATTTGATGGGTAGGATAAAATGTCAGGACACAGCCACTTCTATATTTTAGTTTTTAGGGTACCTGCACTTTTTTGTGTGTACCTCCACTTCTGACATGTTGCCAGTACTCGGAGTAAAAGCGTCAGTGTCTGGGTAATTAGAAATTACACTATATGCGTTCATGCCATATCAGAATTCCCGTAATTACGAGATTCCAACTTGTAAAAGGCGTTCACGTCCCCGTAGAACTCCTAATTACAACTTGTGAACTGGGAGTTTTCTGAGAGAGCTACGACTTGTATCACGTGACCGCTGTACCACCTGACCACCGTGAACAGCTCCGAGTAGAACGTCACGTGCTGTCATCTCGAAATTACGGTAATTACGATATGGCATGAATGCAGCATAAATCACACTACCCAGGCAGGATCACCTCTCATCTCGACCAATCACGTGAGCGAATTCAAGCGGAATAGGTCTACCTCATGTGAGAGCATGTGAGAGCAGCTTCTTTTTTTCCACTTCAAGCACTGCAACTGCGAGATAAAAACTCTCAATTCTGACTTTTTTTCTCGCAATTCTGACTTTTTTCCATCCGAATTGTGTGATATAAACTCGCAATTGCGAGTTATGAAGTCCAATTCTGAGGGGGAAAAAGACTGATACATTGATATAAGTTTATATCTCACAATTCTGACTTAATTGCATGTTATAAAGTGAGAAAAAAATCACAAATGCGAGAGGTAGCCTAAATTAGCATGTCTTTTTGTGAGATATAAAGTCTCAGTTGTCCTTTTTTTATTTTTTTATTGTTAGATGTTTGTCTAATGTTATTTGAATGTTACTACTTGTTTCGGAATGTTCAGAGAACATTCAAAAGTAACATTCTCATAATCTTTGCAAAATGATACAATGGAATGTTCCATTAATGTTTGAATAACCAAGAAAGCATTTTTTAAACATTTAAATGTTCAGAGAACATTTATAACGTTTTTATAAGTAAATGGGAACGTTAGCAAATATTCTTAGAACATTTTGTTAGCCAGGGTTCTGCTCTTATTAGCACTTGTGTGTTGTGCTACAGTACTTTAATTTGTATTCTCTCTGTTTTCTGTCACATTATCAGACGCGAGACTCTTTTAACCTTTTTTCGAAACAAAATTCAGAGATCTTAGACCCGTTTGAACCAGCTAAAACCAGCATAAAATGCCCAGAACATACTGATAACCAGTGTTAGGATGCAAGCTGCTCACCATCTGAACCAGTTTAGTTGCTTCGAGCTGTTTTAGCAGGTCATAAAGGTTTATGCTTTCAATAATTCATTATTAACTCTTTCCCGGCCAAACACGGAATTTTCCAGGTTTCCGTGTTTTCACAGTTATACGTTAGGGGGCGCTATTTCGCATCTCCTAAATGAGTCTAGAAAGTGCCGATCAAAAACACAGACCAGGAAGACACAGAAACGAGCGATCTCATATGTAAGCATATGCATATGAAAAATAACACGATCATCAACACTAACCGCATGGAAACTGACTAAAGCTACCGAGTGAAATGTGGATCCAGAAAGTGTGCAAGCTTTGGGAGTGCTGATGGAAGCCATCTACTGCATCTTTGCTTTGATAATAATAATGCTAAATATGATCCAGATGTAGTATTTGATAAAATGCGATTTTCTCTGCTTTTTGCTCAAAATGTTTTTTTAAGAAACCTACATACATTCAAGTGTTGATAAAAAACAATGCTTGAAGCTAGAATAAAACAGATTTTTTGTTTGAAAGTGGAGGGTCTAATCTTTATGTTGCATGTTCAGATATTCATACAACAAAATATTCTGGGGACCGTGAAATTATAGTGAAAATCAGCAAAAACGCTGGCGGTGGCTGGCAACTTTTTTCAAAAACGCTAGCAGGGAAGAGTTAAAATATATTTAAAGTTCTTTATATCAGTTTGGGCTTTATTTCTCTCAATTCTGACTTTAAACTGAATTATGAGATATAAGCTCTGAATTCTGGCTTTTTTCTTACAATTTCTCTCTCTCTCTCTCTCTCTTGTTTTGTTTTGTTTCTGCCATGGAATAAAACAGATAAAAGGTAATTGCAATAAAAAATGGTAAAAAATGAAAAAGGTAATATTTCACAATTCTGACATTTTTCTCGCAATTCTGAGAAAAGAAATCCACAATGTGAGATATAAACTCAAAAGGTCAGAATTGTGAGAGAAAAAGTTGCAATTACCTTTTTTTATTTTTTTATTCAGTGGCGAAAACAGGCTTCCATATATATATACCTTACATTCTTCTGAGGAACATAAAATAACATATACTGGGGAATGTCTCTCAGCTGTTATTTTTGTCCATACAATGGAAGTCAACGATTGATTTTGGTTAACAATTTTCTTCAAAATACTGTTTATGTCCCACAGAAGAAAGTAAGTCTCAGGTTTGGAACAAGATGAAGGTGAGTAAATGATGACACAGTTTGAATTTTTGGGTTAACAACCTCTTTAATATGTGGTAAATCTGCTGCAAACAAACAATTTGCCACAAAACTAATTTACTATACATGTAAATACGCTACATCGAACAATTTCTGCAAATCTCAAGTAATATTTGCCACAACAGTTTATCAGAACACTATTTTTATAAAGAATGACATGAAATTTGCCATCATCAAGTTTAATCCAGCTAGCCAAAAGGCCACGAGTTAATATGCTGAGTTGTACTTGAGGGATTCCAGGGTCCATGAATGAGTAATTTGATTCACCGATGAAGTTTAGCTCAAGATAAATGCAATTAATCAGCAGATTAAATGCAGTTAGCCCAATACTAATGCGGTTTAGCCCAAGACCAAGTTTAATATGTCCAGAAAAACATCCAAACTTGAATCAATGGAGCCTTGGAGCCAGTTGGTATATTAGCATGACGGGATTAGCATGACGATATGTGAGCTGGCATGCTAATGCTGTAGTGACAGGCTATGGTCAGTTAGCATTAGCTAGTGCTAATGATACCTCACTGATGTGTGAAATGTAATTATATCGTAAGCACATAATTTGCAATATTGCTCCATATGGTACAGAATGCTTGTGTGTGTGTGTGTGTCTGTGTGTGTGTGCGTGTGCATGTGTTTTAAGCAGGTCCACTTATGTTACTGTGGTGCATCAAGCATGTGTGTTTCATCTGGACTCTGAACTGGGACAAGCTCTCTCTGTCCCACGATGCATGATTGATTCATACCCTGAAGTGTTTGGGAGCCTGGACAACAAACCATATGTTCTACGCAAATGCAACAAATCCTAGCTCAAATTAAAGTAGTTCTTGATCAAAAACATAAAGCCCCTAAGTATCCTGGACAAAACAATCCTTCGCCCTAATGAATCTTTTGGCAAGCAGGACCTGACCCAAAAAATCTACTCACAAGTAATCATGGTCCTCATGACTCCATTTGGATTTTGCATCATCTTATTGTAACATTAGCCATTCATAGAGCCTGGTTTAAATGAATCTTCTGGCTAAATCAATCCAGCCCTACTGAAAACACAGTGGGATGGCATGCTGGTGTTTTTGCCAGATTTTTAAACTAGCAAAGACTTCCCAGGTCAGTTTTTTGAAAGCGATTAATACTTTTATCAGCAAAAATGCATTAAACTGACCAAAAGGGACAGTAGACTATTTTACATTGCTACAAAAAAAATCAATCTGAAATAAATTTCAACTTATGGGTGGCACGGTGGCGCAGTGGGCAGCACTGTTGCCACACAGCAAGACAGTCCCTTGAATCCAGGAGCCAGGAGGCCTTTCTGTGGAGAATTTACATGTTCTTCCCATGCACAATAAATAAAAGTAATAATTGAAAAATGTCTTGCTAAAACACATACAAAAGCAAATAATTTAAAAATAAATTTAATCATATATTAAACTTCGTATATAAAATAATATCAAAATAAATATCAAAATAAAAGAATGCATAAATTAATTAAGTTTATGAAGAATAAAAATACAGATAAAAAATAAGGAAAAAAATAAAGGGGAGAAAGTAATACAAAAATAAATTCATGACTTAATTTAATTAAATAATTAATTGTATTTTGCTTTAGCAAGCAATTTACTCCAGGTTTGGCCCTTCATGCATGTGAATGTGACACTGAAGCCTGGAATGATGTCTGATGAAAATTCTGATTTGCCATCACAGAAATAAATGTCATTTTACAATAGATATCAATATAGTTATTTTAGTTTAGCTACTTTGAATAATACTAATACTACTACTACTACTACTACTACTACTAATAATAATAATAGGACTTCATTCATAAACATTTTAAAAACTCGTAGCCACACTTTTGGATGGTTGTGTAGGTTAATGTTAATTTATAAATATACCATTGTTCATTGAATTATGATTATTCTAAATACAAGAAAGTGCTGAATTTAGTGTATTTATAAATGAACATTACTGTGTAACATTACAGTAAGTACTGTAAAAAATATTGTTCATTGTTGATTTATAAAATACATAAACCAATGTTAAAGTATTAAACCAAATCACATACTTCAAAACAGTCAGCATAAGAAAAACAATTAATGTATGAATAGACTATAAAACTAATTATGAATTCTGAACAAAGACATATCCTCGGTCTCTCTTTTATTGAGAAACAAGGTCTCTGTCTGCGCAAATGTTTTTGGAGGGACTGCAGCCTGTTGAAAGCAGCTGGTGGTTAGGCTACCCTTGGCCCGTAGCCCGAAGCGTGTTGAATAACACATATACATACATTCACACACACATACACACTCTGCATTCCATCACTGATCATCTCTGCACATGCAAAATATCCTCCAGACACACTCACCGGGGCCTTAACCCAGCACCTGGCATGCTATGTGTGTGTGTGTGTCAGGTCTTGGCCATTTGCAGAGACCTTAAACAAGAACACTGCACATGTCTTCTATATTATAAGTCTGTGCCTATGTCATGGTTTTGGTCTCTGTCGAGAAGTTCGAGTTAAAACAGAAAAGATCTGGTCTGGTCCAGGTACTCGAACACAAACCATACTGCATATTCATATGCACATCTTTTCGAATTGACCTTTGAGCAATCTGATGCACAGTAAAGGATGCTTAAAAACGCTCAGCAGAAGTGTGCACGGTGCCTCGTGGTCCTCCTCCGTTCCCAGCACCTCCAGCCCATCAGGATCACTCCATCAGCAAGCCACTTACAGCTCATTTTCCATCCATTCAAGTGTATTTTTCTCCCCCTCCCTCCATTTCTGTCTTTCATCCCTCAAACCATCTTTCCCTCACTTGCTTTCTATTATGCTCCTATCTTGTTCTGGTAGTGCTCTATTCTTCCACTTTTTCCTTCTCTTTCTGTCTCTTACTCTCATTACATTGCCAGTAGCTGAGGATGATGTTTGCAGGCTTGTGATCTTGACCCTAATATGCTAAATGTCTGTGCCTGCGGGGTCTGTCTCGTATCTCCCTTTTGCTCATGGAGAGAAGGCAGAATCCAGATCTCAGCTAAAGCACATATCCAGATTACAAACACATAATATTCCATTTAAGCCAGAGAGGTTAGCACGTCAGAGAATCCTTGGAGATAAAAGACAGAGCCATATTTGGTCACTTTATGCATGACTTCCGTTTTTGTTTTTAAAGGGGTCATATGATGCGATTTCAATTTTTCCTTTCTCTTTGGAGTGTTACAAGCTCTTGGTGCATAAAGAAGATCTGTAAAGTTGCAAAGACTAAAGTCTCAAATCCAAAGAGATATTCTTTATAAAAGTTAAAAGTCAACCACGCCCTCCTAAAATGCCTCGTTTAAATACACCCCCACATGTCTACGTCACGATGTGGGAAGATTTGCATAACGCCGCCCAAATGTTCACGCAAAGAAAGACGTAAGGCGTAACTTTTTCGATGTAGTTTTGTTGTTTCCGCCGCCATGTCGTAAAGACGCTGTGTGCTTCGTTGTGAAAGCGAA